TATTTGAAAGAAACTCTGTCCTAAATAAGGAAAGAGTTAGAGATTGAAGTTAACTAGAACTCTTCCACCAAGGAAGAGTAAAATATTAAAACTCTAGTTAATTTTTATTCTACTAATTCTATAAATATCAATTGTGTTCTCTTTTACAGGTGACACACATGTACTGAAGTAAAAGTAGAATTGAGAGCAAAATAATAAGACATTTTGTGAGTAATTCCTATGAGATTCAAGAGTGTGATCCTGAAGCCACTAATGCTAGGCTAGAAACCCGTATTTTAGTCATAAATTGTATTCTAATTACTGTATTTTACTTGTGGTTGAGCTTAAATAATTGTCATTTGTGCTTATTACATGTTTTATGCCTTGCAGGAAATGATTCCGAGCTATTAAAATAATTTGGAGCTAATTTATGTAAGTTGGAACTTTGAAGTCTGAGTAAAAGTCAATGAAATTAATTCGGGATCATGTTTGGGGGTCGAGGACCAAGTCTGAATGTCAAAAAGTGAGAAAATAAAATTACTGTGAGAAAATTGCACTACCGTGTCGTGCCATGCGTAGCAGGGCACGGGGCACTAGTGAAAAGTCATGTAGAGTGAAAAAATTGGCCTCTGACCTTTCCCACTAATGCGGCACATAGTGCACCGCCCGGTGCGCCGCGGTAGTTTATTTTCTCGCTCAACTTTTTTCACTTCGGCTTGGAAATTATAGTTTTGTCTGGGATCATTCCTACATGATATAAATACATTAAAACACGAATTTTAAAGGACTTTTGACCTTGGAAGCTTTGGGAGAGCATTTGAGGCTACAAGACACAGGATTTCGTCATCTTTCCATTAGTTCAATACAAGAGTTTGGATTATAACGTTAGACTGTTGTTTTCTTATTCTTTAATTATATTTGTGATGATTTCTTTCATGATTATAGAGTAGCTTCCCTTAGGGTTTGACGGGTAAGGTATTTTAATAAATATTTATGGATTCTAACTCTAATTGTTTGCTTGAATTCGTTTATGAAGCTTTGAATTATTGTAACTTTATTCACCGGTTCATTTAATCTATAGAGGAATATTTTGGTGATTATCTTTACATTATTTTGTTTGATTTAATTCATTGATTCTTTTAAATAATCGAAAGAGCTTGTTGAATTGTTGAAAAAATCAAGTTAGGAGAATATTCGAGAGAGGTTTTCCTAAAGACTTAGAAACCAACTCTGCTAATATCTAGTTCTTTGCAATCAATTGTCAATTGCTTTACTGTAGTAGTTAATCGTAGTTTGTAATCACTCCAAATAAAATTTTGATCATCCTGAATAACAGTTAAACCATAAATTACTAGAGCATTATTTAAATCCAATCCAGTGGAGACAATAACTTAACTATACTATCTATGGCTAGCGAGTATCAATTTTGTGTTGTGTTTTGCGCTCGTCAAATTTTGGCGCCTTTGCTAGGGACTGACAATCAATAGTGTTCAAATTAGTTTTTGTGCTAATTCAGGAACCAATTTTATTTTATTCTTCACGTGTTTTCTCTTTCGTGTGCAAGCAATGGGTTAAGCTCTTTGGTGTATGACTCGATCTTCTTCTAAGGAGGTGATTCAATACGATCCAGAGGTGGAAAAGCGTCTGCGACAGTTGAGGAGAGAGAAAGAACTCACTGGAAAATTCTTGGGGCAATCTTAAACCAAAGAGAACAAGGCTATGAACAGTGAGGAGATAATTGATTTGGTTGTATGGGAAGCAACCACACAAGCAATTACTGAAGTAGATCTCAGAGCTGATGAAACAGTTGATAGGAATAGAGGACGAAGATTCAACTTGAGTTTACGTCTAGTTGAAGACGAATTTGAAAATAATATGCCCAAGCCTAGACGATCACTAGGAGACTATGCCAGGCCAGTCTACTACCAAAGTGTATCTAGTGTGCGACCCCCTCCAATGACAACAAATAATTTTGAGATCAATCAAGGGATACTTAAGACTATTTAGAATAATTGTATCTTTCATGGCAAACCCAATGAAGGTCCAAATACTCATTTGATGGATTTTGATGAGATTATGAATAACTTTCAGCATAATGGAGTATCGAAAGATGCTATCTACTTAAGGACATTTCCTTTTTCACTGAAGGAAGATGCTAAACACTGGTTGCGAAGTTTGTCGAGTGGTTCAATTCAAACTTGGGAAAACATGACAAAGAAGTTCCTTGAAAAATATTTTTCACCTGCAAAAATAGGGAAAATTCGAAGAGAGATCCACAACTTCGAGCAAAAAGAGATAGAAATGGTGTTTGAAACATGAGAAAGGTTTAAGGAGATTGTGAGAAGATGTCAGCATCATGGAGTATACTTATGGATGCAACTCCAAGATTTCTTGGATGGTTTGACACCCTCTAGCAGGAGGACGCTAAACAATGCAGTTGGAGGTCCTCTTATGAAGAAAACTCCTGATGAGATTATTTCAATTCTAAATAAATTATTTGAACATGCAAATTAATGGCATGCAGAAGATAACCATAGAATAAAATTAGTTGGGTTGCACCAGATAGACTCTAACACATCAATGCAAGCCCAGAGAGACACCATGGCTAGAGAGATAAGAAAGTTGACATTGGCCAAGGTACAAAGTGAGCCACTAGAAACATATGACTTTTGTGGAATGAGACACCCTACACACGAGTGTCAAGCTTCAGCTGAAGTAGTAAATGTTGCATGGAGCATTGACAGAGGAAACTATCAAATTGAAAACAATTTTAACAATTTGGAACAGAGGCACCCAAGTTTTTCATGGATTTTACCAGGTGGTAGTGCAAACGCATGTCAGCAAAATAACTCCAGACCCCAGGGGTAGGGAGCTACATTTTTCAAAAACTAGTAGAGTCAACAATATCATCCTCCATAGTCTAATCAGTCTAGCATGGAAGATCTGATGAAGGCCTTTATTATTAAGACAAATAAGAGGCTTGAAACCCATGGCAAAGCTATCAGAGAACTGGGCACGACTTTTCGAAACTTGGAAAGACAGGTTGGGAAACTAGCAAATCTATTGTCTGAGAGGGTTCCGGGAACTCTCCCTGCTGATACTGAAAGAAATCCAAAAGAGACAATAAATGCAGTGTCTTTGAAGAGTGGGCACATATTGGAGGATCCCGGGGCAAAACAAAAGGATGAGCTGATTGAAAGATAGGTGGAGATTGTGGAGGAGCAGAAAAATGATATTAATTAAGAAGGTGTAGAGATGGTGGATGATGGTTTGAAGAAGAAGGGGAAGACTATATCTCAAATGAAGAAAAAAGATGAGAATGCAAAAAGTGAGGAGACTGAAGAAAGTAAATATATGCTTGCTCTACCTTTCCCGCAAAAGCAGAGAAGAGAGAAGCTGGATAAACAATTTGGGAGCTTTCTAGAAATGCTCAAGCATGTGCAAGTGAATATACCTTTCATAGAGGTGCTATCATAGATGCCAACTTGTGCTAAATTTTTGAAGGAGACTAGTATGAAAAAACAAAAAGTGGAGGAAAAATCGGTTGTCAAGATCACAGAGCATTGTAGTGCCATTCTGCATAACAAACTCCCTCAAAAGTGTGGAGATCCGGGGTGTTATTATACCTTGATCTTTAGTAAGTACTAAATTTAAAAAATCTTTGTATGATTCAGGTGCTCCTATTAATTTTATGCCTTTGTCTATTTTCAGGAAATTGAAGGAAGAGATTGGAGAAGTCTGGTCGATACCTGTGTCCTTATAGCTGGCGGATCAAACCACAATCATACCTGAAGGAATAGTGAAAGATGTGCTAGTTTGGATGGACAAATTTGTGTTCCCTATGGACTTCATTGTTTTGAACATGGAGGAAAATATGGAGGTCCCCCTGATTTTAGGAAGACCCTTCTTAGCTACTGGCAGAGCAATTCTGGACATTCAAAAAAGGCAACTCATGATCATAGTGGGGGAAGAAGGGGTGATCTTCAAGATGGAAGGAGCAATGGAGGCTCTAAAGGAGCAAACTGGAGAGAGTAATAATGATAAGTATGGGGTGTACCCAAAGAAGGTCGAAAAGAGGCTCTCAACATGGATGTGTGCACTAGGTCGGGCATGTAAAAGTGATCCCGACTTCAATTAGATCTCGACTAGATGAATCTGGAAAGTTTCCTTTACCTCTTGATTTTTATTTGTATATCATGGGGACATGTCACAATTTAAAGTGTGGGGTGGGGGATGATGTAAATATGTACACGTGTGTTTGTTTTCATTTCTTTTGATTCTTTTGAAAAGAAATTGACTTTTCCTGACGATGGATTTCCTTTTTTTTTTTGGCAATCCGCTAGGCAAGAGCCTAGGGCTAATTTTTTATATAACAATATTAAAAAGCAAAATACAAAGTCATGATATCCTACAAAATGAAAGGAATAAAATTTGAACTTAACAAATAGCCTATTATCAAAATTGAGCATTCCACTCAAAATTGATATCACATTAATTCTAGGACAAAGATGTCCTTTGCTTCCTTATATTTCCAGTCCATTGAAGCCCAATTCAAATGTGTAGTATGCTGAAAAGTAGCCATAATCTGCGTCAAATTGGTTGCAGAAATGGCCTATTTCCTTGTGTTTCACTATCAGATGTTTTTGGACTTGTCATTCCTTCCACATACCCATGTTACTCATGCCATTATTATATTGAATAAACAATCAAAGTTGGCAGACATCTGTCTTCCATGTTGTCTTTGTTTATTACAATATTATATTATTTCTCACTCTTCTCATGTGCTTTCGTAGGTTATCACCTATGTTCCTTGTTATTTGCACCCACGCATGCTTCGATCCTGGCATTCTTTAAAAGTAATTTGGGGCATCCTTTTTCCTTTGTTTATGTATCATTTCCAATGTTTCTTTTTCAGCATGCAAACCAAACATTTTTGTCTTCCCATGTTCATGTTTTCAGTAATGTGTGCATCTCCAGCAACGTGAGAATTCATGCACGACCAAAATTGTAATTGCAATTCATTATCCAGCCTGCCTTAAAGGCACCAGGCGTGAGCTGACTCTTCTGTCTCCATTGCTTAGCGCTTGAAGCATTGATGGAAAAGCATCCATTGAAAATTGCAGCAATCCCATTCCCAAGTCAGTCGTGAAGGAGGCAGTCGTGCATCCAGTTATAGAATACTGCATTTCATCTGTTCCCAAAAAAGCACGCCGCATGTGCTTTTGTTTTCAAATCTACCAGCGTCCATGCGTGCATCAATATTCCTCAAGATTATCTCCCACATGTTGGTCGCATAAAGTTGCTGGATTCTCTCACGTTTGAATGACTGCGAAGCGTGCATCTCCAACAAAAGATGCGTTCATCGTACATCTGCTGCCATGCGTGTTCCGCAGGAAACATGCATTGTCGACCTACTTTTGTATCCTAGTAAACTGAAAGCATGCGATGACTCTTCTGTCGAAAAGCATCTGTTGAAAATTTTCAGCCTCATGTTTTTCTTTATCTAAGATAAATTTCTTTTTTCCATGTGATACTTTTGTTGACAACATGTGTTTTCTTCCATGCGTTCCACAGTAAACCATGTGTGCACATGAACAGATTTGTAGGAATCTGTGAAGGCTAAATTGTACAGTGCTTTGTATTAAAAGAATACCCTTTCGTTTGCATCATCCAAAATGTGAGATTCCTGCATTTCCTAGAAATTCCCTAGCGTGCTGGTGCACTCTCCAAGCATTTTGGCATCTGTTATTGTCCATAACTTCACGTGCCCCTCTTGTTTTCCCATGCTATGTTAATACTTCCCTTTGATGTGAATGACTGCCATGAAATGAACATTGTAAAAGTCGCCAAAGCTCACCTTTAATGTCCTCCCAGTGGATTGAATGCAATGCATTAATACCACCACTTGAGATTCTACTGTAAGATTAGGCTTTAGCTTCGATGAAATACCTGCAAAAAAGTGAACAAAGTTATCCGAAAAATTGCTAGCCAAACTCTCCTCAAGAATGATTCGAGTGGGGTAACAAAATGAATCCTCTTTTCCTCCTAATTCCTTGCAACCTTCACTCTTATGTATGGACATTGCATCTTATCTTCGTTAATAATCCTCCTTCCTATTGAGTCCATATCCCAGAAACCATGACATTCAGTATTTCCTTGATTTAGAGCATAATTGGCAAAGTGGTCTACTAATGTATTCCTTTCTCTGAATATGTGTGTGACCTTGATGATACTTTGTTCCTTCAATCTTAAAATCTCCGCTACATGTTCAGTAACATACCAAGAAGGCTTCCATGATTCCTCTATGATGTTCTTTAACAGCATTGAATATGTCTGCAGCCATATCTGGAAATAATTAAGATTTTTGCACATCTTCAATGCCTCCACAATAGCTACAGCTTCTAATTCATTGTTGGTTCCTTCAGAAATTTTCCTTCCTTCTGCATATATCAAATCACCTACCTCATCCCTTATGCAGAAACCAATTGAACTCCTCCCTGGGTTCCCTCTACATTCTCCATCCGTATTAACTTTGATCCATCCTCTTGAAGGAAATTCCCATAACACTTTATCATATTTCAGTCGAGGTGTGTATTGCACCATCATTGTCAGTAAGTCTAGCCACTTCTGAGGCACACGTAGTCCAGGCTTTTTCAGTTGGACAAGTGCTTGCACAGTAGACGACACCTGGTAAATAACTCTGCTCACTAACACTGCTTCTCCATATTTCAAACTATTTCTTCTCTTCCAAAGTTCCCAAACGATGTATGCAGGTAAAGCTTGTAATACTGGCTTCAATCTAGGTACAATTGGTGTTGTCCAACACTTTGTAATTGCGTGATGTAATGACAACCCATCTAATGCAATTTCTGCTCTCCTCAGGAAATAAGTCCAAACACTTCTAGCTGCATTGGATGTGAAGAACAGATGTAGTAATGACTCCTCCTTAGGATCAGCACAACACCAACATTTAGATGGCATTGAGTATCCTAGTTTACGCAATAAATCATCAAGTGGCAGTTTGGCTTTCCACACCTACCACAGGAAGAAGGATATCTTGAAAGGTAAACCTTTTATCCATATTGTGAGCACGTGATTTTTGCCCTATATATGAATAATTCCCAAAAAATTCCAACAAAATAATTTTTCTTTATTTTTTACAATTTTTGTGCATTTCGGTGTCATTTCCTTGATAATTATCGCATTTTAGTTTATATAAAATACAAAAATATGCATTTTGCATTTAGGTTTTAGTTTTATATTTTAGTATCAATTAAGGGTTAATTTATTTAGACAAAACATGAAAAATCACAAAATTAGTTCACTTTTGCATTTTAATGATTTTTATTGTGAATTTGTCATGAAATAGTTTTTTTTAAAACAATTTTAGGAATTAATTAGTCTTTGTTTTGAAATAATTAGGATTTCATGTTAGTTTTACATCTTTATAAAAATTAGAAAAATTATAAAAAAATTTAAAAATGAGAAAAAGGAAATAAAAGAGAAAAGAAAATAAGAGTAGGATAATCTGGGCCAATTCCGTTCTTAAAACCCCCCAGCCTAAACGGATCCCAGCCCAAAATCAATACCCATTCCAACCCCAGCCCAAATCACCCCTCCTTGCCCATGACCCGACCCGTCCATCAATCAAACCCACAGACCCCTAATCCCAAAACCCACCCCTCTGTGACTGTTCTTCTTCTTTGAAGAACATGCGAGTCAGGCCTCAAATCCGTCCCAATAAATCGTCAAAATTCACGCGAGTGAGCATCAAGGCCTAACCCACGCATCCCTCTACCTGTCCTCTTGCTGTTGTTAATGGATTTTCTAAGGCCAAGATTCGTTTCTGTTCACTCGCTCGATTTTGAGAGGAGGCACGCGATTGGAAGGTCCTAGAGACGATTCGCTGGATGAATGTGAGGCATTGGATTGATTTCGTTCAATCCGAGCCCCACATTCATCAGGGATTCGTTTCATAAAAGGGCTCAATCCGATTCTTTGAAAAAAAAAAGGTTCAGAGGTTCGATTTCTAATTTCTATTTTGGTTTTCTGATTCTCGGCGTTTGTTTGATTGATACTGAACCCTCGTTGTTTTGGATTTTTTTTAGTTTCAATCCCAGAAAATACAGAAAGGATCCCAGATTTCTATTTCTCTTCGTTAGAGTAAAAACAAAATGAAACAAAAATAAAAAAAGAGTTTCGATTTCTTCGCATATCGTCTCTGGTTTAATTGTGCGTGTGATGGAGTTGGTTTACAAATGGAGCTCGTTTGAGAATCGCTGAGTTCGTCGCTGTCTAAATTTCTGATTGCTGCTCGCCTTTGCTATTGATTTGGTTGTGTTTCGAACCTTCTGTTATTTTACTGCTGAAAGTTTGGAGTCGAAATCATGTAATGTCCTTCGATTCTGTTATTAAAAGAAGTTCAAAATTTCAGGTTCAATCTTCATCTCTCTGTTCTTGCGATTCTGTTTTGTTTTAGTGCTTTGAACTATGTGTTTCTGTCTCGAGTGCTCTGTTTGTGCTGGGATCGAATCTCCTGTTGAATGAATTCATTCTCAGTAGTATGATGTATTTGAGTATTTTCAGTTAGTAGAAGTCGATTTGAATAGTCGTCTTTCATTCCCTATATGTCTTGACGGTTATTCAAGCTTGAAGAATATTCTAAATCAAGTGTCGTCGACTTCAAATGAACAATGTGTTCATGTTTATTCTGGTTCTGTTTAGTTTAGTTTACATATGAATTAAACTCTGAAATTGTCTGCCCTGCAATAATGGTACGAATCTGATAGTTTGACAAATGCGTTTGATCAAAGTCAGATTTGATTCTTGGTCGTTTGAGTTAGTGAAACACGTCATTTGCTGTTAGAATCAGTTAGATTAGCTATTTGATAAAGAAACTTATTATTGTTCAAATGATCCATAGTTCAGTAATGGGTTCTTTAGAGCTTGTTGTAAGTGTTTGGGTTCAGTTTGCTCGTATAAGCTCGAGACGAGTTCCATAAGCACTGTTTGATATGTCTATTTCCTTTCATCCTGTCATCCTTCCAAAATAGGACTATATTCTCTGGGTTCTTCTTTTCAGTTTTAAGTTTTGTTGATATATGCTACTGATTTAGCTAAAGACCAGCTTGAACTCGTGTTAGTTTCGCGTTAAGTGATTTTTTCAATGGTCCAGGTCTGTTTGTTTCAATTGTTTGGACTTAAAATTTAAGTTTGAGGTTCAGTTGTGTGAGTTGTTCTTCGGTGGTTCTGTTTTGCTAAGCTACAACTTTCCTCTCGCCTTTCTTTGGCTATTCAAATTTGTCTCGAATGATGTTTAGAGGCATTGTCTCAATCTCAAAAATGTAAATGTTGTTCAGGCATCCATGTGCTATGAATTTGCTGAAATTTGTTCGCGTATACATGGTGGAGTTTGTTCTCTGATGTTTTCTGTTGTTCATGGTATGGGTTTGTTGATTTTAGTTTTAGTTTCAACGCAAAATTGGATATGGTCTACGTTAATATCGATTCATGTTTATTCCCTGATGGATCCGTTTGGTATTGTTGTTTGCATATTGATTAATTTGATCCATTGGCCCACTGCATCTTAAGGTACATGAATTGCTTTTTTTTTCTTTTCGGATATTTATTGTGTCTTCTCCGTTAGGATTAAAATGGTATGCTTGATTTTAGAGCAGCTGGTTTGTTTTTGGATCTCATTATCTGTAGCTAGAATGTTTTTACCTGTGGCTCAACTTTTTTTTTTTACGAATTCAAAATATATAAAGGGGAATCCTGATTTGTTACCCTACTGTTTCCGTTCGTCTTATTAGTATTAATTAATACCTCGTTTCGTGCTTGCCAATGGTTAGAGGTAATAGGCTAGAGACAATCTGTTCGTAAAATGCTTGGGCAATTCCGTATGATTGGAAGTAAATTTCTTTTTAATATGGTTTCCCACCATTTCAGCTTCTATAAATCATGTTTTACGATAAATTTCAAAGCAAAAGAGAAGAACAATTCATGAACATTCATAGGCTGCTTTAATTGGGTACAACCCTTTGGGACAATTTAAGGTGTGCCATGTCGAACAGAAGGACAATCGCATGGCCCTCACTTAATTAATTTTATTCCTTATAAATCGAGGTGTGCCATTTAGTTGAAATTCCATGGCCCTCGCAAAGTGCAAACGCGTAGTGGCTTTAAATGCGCTCTTAATAAAATTACCTTCCTGAACTCGGGTGCGCATTGATGCGACCCAAATCCAAATCTCAATGAAGTCGAAATGTGTTGACAATCACGGGCGCATTGATTGCGACGGGGTTCGAAACGCGTTTTCACGACATCGTAATTCTTTAAAATAAAAAGCGGTTTACAAATAAAAGGCACATAAGCTAGCAGGTATTAAAATCAGCTAAAATCAAATACAACAGTTAAGCGACCGTGCTAGAACCACGGAACCCGGGAATGCCTAACACCTTCTCCCAGGTTAACAGAATTCCTTACTCGGATTTCTGGTTCGCGGACTGTTAACAGAGTCATAAATTTCCTCGGTTCGGGATACAACCGGTGACTTGGGACACCATTAATCTCTCAAGTGGCGACTCTGAATAATTAATAATTAAATTCCGTTCCGATTGTCCTTTAAATGGAAAAACTCCTTTATGCCCTTACGGGTGTAGGTGAAAAAGGAGGTGCGACAGCTCTGGCGACTCTGTTGGGGATCGAACCCAGAATCTCTGGTTCAGGGTTCAGAATTTGAGCTTAGATAAATTGTTGTATTTCATTACATTTGATTTTCCTACATATTTCATGCTGAATGTGCTAAATGTTACCGCTTTGATATTATTTGAACTATATATAAACTGCGCCGACACCCTTCTCTCTTCACCTCCGGGGATGTGCTTACTGTTGAGACTCCCTATTCTGTTAGTGTCATACCTTGAAATAAGAAAGAGGCCGGACAAGTTACAAAGCCGGATGGCCTTTTGGTTCCCGGTAAGTTGCCCCCTCCTCGACTCGAGTTGTCCGCTCGGGTACACAGTCTAGAACAC